TAATAGTTATTAATTTAGACAATATGACTGAAGATAAACAAAAAAGTGCATACATTAGAAAATAAAACATTAAAAAAAGTGCATACATTATCAAGTTGGAACATTCTCCCAAAATCCTTCCATATGGTCATAACGTGTGGCATGCACATCATCTATTTCTACATTAACACTCAAGTTTGGTATATTTGAAGAGAAACATGGTGTCTCTAGTATATCAAGTACTAATTCATCATTCTCATGAGAAGTATACATGAGTTTTCCTTGTAGAACCACTGACCATCCTTTGTTAGCGGGATCAGTGACATAAAACACTTGTTTTGCCTGAGATGCCATGATAAATGGTTCTTCGGTATAACGAGTATTTTCAAGGTTAACCAAGGTAAATCCAAGATCGTCGGTGAAGATGCCGAGTATTAAAATCAACCCACTTACATTTAAAAATAGGTACTCTGAATATCGTGTAATCTATTACCCAAATCTCTTCAATTACACCAAAGTAGCCCATTGACGCCAGTTATCGGATATTTATCCTTTGAACTCGAGAAATGCATTGATTCGACCACCACCATGACTCCACTATTTTGCATTGTGCTTATTTCATCTTCTCCCTTTGTATAAAATGAATAGTTATTTATATCATACCCACCCCAACATATCACATCAAAGTTTGGCTCACATGCTAGCCACTTTAGTGTATCAGAAGCAGTATTGTCACCTTCAACTTGTTGTTTAAACCACTTCAAAAATCTTTTGTTGTGTTCAGTGATCACCCACTTTTTAGGCATAAGTGGATTATTTTGCTTCACAATGTCTTTATGAGAACTTAAGTAGGGGATGATTTCTTCACTGTTATTCAATATGTACAAATGCGCTTGAAGTACTTCATCTCGACACATTGTCACAACTTTTGCACCTCGAGTTCCTCTACCAAGACCTATTCCATGGTAACGAGTCTTAGGTAACCCTATAGCTTCAACTTCTGATAAGTATTGTGTGAAAAACTCAATAGCTTCCTCTGCAATATATCTTTGAACAATTGATGCTTCAGGACGATATTGGTTCTTCACATACCCTTTTAATATCTTCATGTATCGCTTAATAGGGTACATCCATCGTAAGAAAACTGGACCACAGATTCTAACTTCCCTGGCTAGATGAACAATCAAGTGAACCATAATATCAAAAAATGATGGAGGAAAGTACATCTCAAATTGACATAATATGACTGCAGCCTCATTCTCTAACTGATCCAAAACATCTGGGTCCATAACTTTACTACATATGGCATTAAAAAAAAAGCATAATCGAGTTAAGGAATATCTAACATTCTCTGGTAAGATACCTCGAATAGCCACAGGTAGAAGTTGTTGCATCAATACATGACAATCATGAGATTTTAACCCAAGCAATTTTAGATCTTTCATAGATACAAGTCTCTTCACATTGGAAGAGTAACCAAATGGAACCTTCACACCTCGTAAAAACTCACAAAAACTTATTTTCTCTTTTTTAGACGAGTGTGTGACATGCTGGAGGCAAGTATGTTCGGTTACCATGAGGTTGAGGAGCTAATTGTTCTCTTATACCCATTTCAACCATGTCCAAACGAGCATTGACACCATCTTTTGTTTTTCCTTGAATGTTAAGGAGCGTTCCAATGATACTGTCACACACATTTTTCTCTACATGCATGACATCTATACAATGCCTCACATCAAGAACCCTCCAATATGGAAGAATAAAAAGGATTGACATTTTCTTCCATATACCTGTGGCTTTCTTTTGCATCTTTCCAAACTCACACGAAATCGCACTTGCTTGTTGATATACTTCTTCCCCACTTAAAGGTGTTGGGGCTGCATCATTTTCTTGACACCCGTTAAATGATTTTTTTAATTTACGATATGAATGGTTTGAAGGAAGAAATCTTCGGTGTCCAAGGTACACTGTTTTCCTTCCATGCTGTAGTTGATAGTGACATGTGTCTTCTTCACATATCGGGCAAGCTTTATGTCCCTTTGTGTTGTAGCCACTCAAATTACCATATGCTAGAAAGTCATTAATTGTACAAAATAACATTGCATGCAACTTGAATAAGTCACCTGTGTACCCATCAAACACATCAACACCTTCCTCCCACAACATCTTCAACTCTTCAACCAATGGGCTTAAAAAAACATCAATGTCATTTCCAGGTTGTCTGGGACCCGAGATCATCAAAGATAGCATCAAGTACTTACGTTTCATACACAACCACGGAGGTAAGTTGTAAATAACTAACACCACAGGCCATGAACTATGTTTACTGCTTAAATTTCCATATGGATTCATTCCATCTGTAGCAAGTCCAAACCTAATGTTTCTTGGATCATTACCAAAATTCTGGAAGATGGAATCAATTTTTTTCCATTGCAATCCATCTGCCGGATGCCTCAATTGACCATCTTTAATACGACTATCTGCATGCCATCTAGTGAGCTTTGCATCATTTCCATTAGTGAATAATCGTTTCAACCTTGGAACAATGGGAAGATACCATAACACTTTTGTCGGGGTACCCTTCATTACATCATTGTCAGAATCACCATCCTTCTTCTTGTATCGTGATTCCCCGCATTGTGGACATTCGTGAAAGTTCTCAAATTCTTTCCTGTACAACACACAATCATTCGGACATGCATGAATTTTTTGGTACTTCATACCCATTGGACACAATATCTTCTTAGCATCATAATTGCGGGTTGGCAATGTGTTACCTTCAGGGAGCATGTCACTCAACAAATCAAGCAATTCTGTGAAACTTTTATCAGTCCACCCATTCTTTGCCTTCACATTGAACAATTTTAGTACCGCCGACAATCGTGTGAACTTAGTACAATTTGTATACAAAGGCTTTTTTGCATCATTGGACAACTTCTCGTACACATGTGTATGTTGGAAGGCATCTTGTCCAAGCTCACGAATCATTTCCTCCAACTGATCATCCATCTCTAGATCAACTTCTTCTTTGTCTTCTACACTTGGCATGTTTAATAATTCACCATGCCATGTCCACTTTATGTAACTCGTTAGGAAACCATCACAAAGAACATGTTCCCGAATAACTTCAGTCGGTAATCTTCGCTCATTCAAGCAGTTAACACAAGGGCAATAGAATCTTCCATCATTATCTGGAACATTCATCTTAGCAAATTTAAGGAATTGTTCTACTCTACTCTCATATTCATTTGTTGTTCATCAATAATTGATCCAACTCCGATCCATTGTTACCTTCTGTCACATAACACAACATATAAGCATAGTTTGAGGATGATAACATCCAACATGTTCTGCTGAAATTGCGATGTCACGTGATTGGATATTTTAATCTTTCAATAGGAAGTTCTGTCCTACAATGGATCATTTCAGGACTGACTCCAATCAAGGCTAACCGTATTGTCTCACATTAGGGTGAGCATAAGCGATGATAGTTTTCACTTAAAATGAAATAACTACATTATAATACAAATCTAATTTTCAAAATCAAAATCACGAAAGAATGCCTATAGAAACACATTCAAATGACTAAACTACTTACAATACGTCTCTAAATTAGCTAAAGGCACCCGTGAACTTCCATCTCTTGACAGCATTATTACATACCAGATTCAAAAATGTAAACCTACAATGGCTAAAGCAAGCACGAAAACTTACCTCTTGAAGACCTACAGAGGTGGCAGGTGGCGTGACGTGCAGAGCTGGGTGGGGAGAAACGTACACAGGCGACGAGCATCAACGATAGTAGCAGCAGGTGGCACGACGTACAGAGTTGGCAGGTGGCGTGACGAGCAGAGCTGGGTGGGGAGAAACGTACAAAGGCGAAGACGTTCGTAGAAGATACAGAGAGAACGGGGAGCTCTGCTATGGGTGAAGTGAGAAATGGAGTGTCGCGGCAGGTGTAAAACATAGGATATTATGTCGGTTGCCCTAACACCCGTCATCAAATACACTTTCTATCTCGGGTAAAACTTAACCGACATAGAAAGTTCACTTTCTATGTCGGTTAAGTTTTACCCAACATAGAAAGTTCACTTTCTATGTCGGGTAAATTTTAACCGACATAGAAAGTTCACTTTCTATGTCGGTTAAGTTTTACCCAACATAGAAAGTGAACTTTCCACTTACTATGTCGGTTAAAATTTACCCGACATAGAAAGTTTATGATTTTATTACAAAATTGTCACCGCGCTACATACTATGACGGGTGGACTACGACCGTGATAAAAACTCGTCATAGAATGCTATTTTTCCACTAGTGATATATGGGACTTGAGAAATATATATTTTATTAGAAGATTTTTTATTTCTCGTACTGGTCATGACATCACTTGCAATTAATTAGAGAGAAAACATTAGGTATTTTTTTTATTAATAGTTAAATTGTTTAAAATAATACAATAAAATTCATATGCCTCATTTTATAATATGATTACTATATTTACAGTTATTGTACTTGTATTTAAAACAATAATAATAATAAATATATTATTTTTAAAATAATTTTATTAAAATGATCTAGTTTTTTTACAAATATATTATTTTGAATACAAAAGAGAAAGTAAATAAATTGAGAATATATTTGAAATGAAAATATAATTAATAAGTCCATTATATATCTAATAAAAAATATGAAGTTATTTTATTTTTATTTTTTATATCAATAATTTTTTCATATAAATACCAATTTTATTTTGATAACAATAAGAAAAAAAATATACAGTAAAGATATTAAAGAGAAAAGTAAGTATTTATTGGCTTTATAATTGTTTTATCATATAAAAATAAAACCATTATAAATTAAAAAATATAATTATTATGATTTATATTTTAAAATAATAAAAAATTAAAAAAATAGATATGTTTTAAATAATAAAAATAATATTTGAAGAAAATTTATAAAAAAATATGAACCAACGTTTTTTTTTCACTGGTAGAAAGATAAGGCGGTGTGATGTCATGATATGGACAGGTGGTGTCCTAAGCATGGGACAGCGGTGAATTCAGGAAACCAAGTTTCCAGTCAACGCAAGACATCGTACGAAAGTCTATCAAATTATCAAAGAAATACAGTACAAATTTACTCTATGCTTCATATTCTATGCTTCATATTCTATATATATATATATATATATATATATATATATGCAATCCGCTACAAGATAAATCTTCATTTAACTGTGTTATTAGTTAGTTGTCCTTGGATAGTTTGTTATCCATATATCTTTTGTGTTATCGTCGCGTCGTGAAATTGTATTTTAGTCATATCATAGTTTTTTTCTACTATTCTATCTCAATTACATCACAATATTGTATTACTGTATCATTAAGATTTAGTGGCGTTATAATATTTATCGGGTTACTGTTATACTACTTCATAATTTAATTATATTTATTAAAAAAATTAAAAAAACCGACCCATGTTAAATTAAACTCATTATAAAATTTATTACCGTAGAACAGAATTCCCTTATTTTTAAGCCAACCAATAATAAGATATTTAATTTTATTTTATAAAATTAGTTCAATAAAACAATTATATTATAATATTATCTTGTATTTAATTTATATAATATAAATTTTTAACTTATATTTTTATATATATTATAATATTAATTGAATTTGTTGAAAATTTTAATATCAAAATTTCGTAAATGATTAATCAGAAATTTAAATATATAGTATTGGTATTGAACACTTTATAATGAAATAACTACTATCTTTTGGTTTATTATAAAAATTAATACAAAATATATTTTATATTATAATTTATTTTCAATAAACAAAGTAGTGGTATTATATTAGAATCAAAAGTATATATTTTAAATCAATAGGAATTGTTTGAAAAGTAGTTTTTTTTTGTCTGAATAAAAATTATCTTATATATATTATCTAATATTAATTTTGCGAAAGATGAATTTTTAATTTTTTTCTTTATAATTTTTTAAATTATTTACATAACGTTTATGATGTTGATTTTCTGTCTATGAAAGTCTGATTCACAGCTTTTTGAAAATAGTTTCTCTGTTTCTATTCTAACCGTTAAAGTTTTCAAAGATTTTTATTTTCATTTAATTATTATATTCAAGTTTTAATATAATATGAATTATTCTGTTAGTATTGCTTTCTCTGTTTATATTAGATTTATATATTATAACATAAAAATAAAAATAAATAATTAAAATCAAGAAAGTTTATTATATTTCTTTTATTTTTCAAAATAATATTAAAAAAACGAGAAGAAGAAAATAAACTGGACATGTCATTCTACCTAATTTTTATATTTGAAATGTCAATTTATACTCCTATTCATGACTCAAGAGAATAATTTTAACTAATAATTTAAATATGTTGATGTTCACACATTCTCTCTCCTCCACACACACACACATATATATATATATATATATATATATATATATATATATATATATATATATATATATATTATTATTAACATTAAATATAAGTATGCCGCCGCCACCTCTTACTAGCCGCCATAATATTATTAGTTTATTTCGTGCTGTTTGATTTTTTCCTTCACACTTTACATGGAATGACCAGATTCAGTGTCAATTTATTTTTCAAATCTTGATTTTTTTTTATTTTAAAAATGTTGTTTTAATCTAATTGTACTTAAATAGTGTGCAATGAATATCTTAAAACATAGATGTGATCAAGTTTTGTATGATAAAAAAATAGTTGTTAATATAATGACTTATTATTTGTTAGCTATACAAGTAAATAATGATAATCTAGTTTTGTGAAAAATGAAATTTCTTATTTATTTCTAAAATGTGTAAAACAAAAACACTAGACAATTATATTGTAGGATTAAATCTTATGGAATTATTTTATAGTAAACTCTTTAATATATAAAATTAAATTTAACACTAAATTATATTCAGAGAATCATTTTCGCATTAAATTATATTATAAAGTTAGAACAAATTTGTTATTAAATTATACAGTAATGTAATTGATACACTTTTTATTCAAAGATTAAGTAAATTTTGTTTTTCAAAAGCTAAAATTATCGTCAATTTACACATAGAGTGATCAAAATAATAATTCATTAAAAATTTTAACTATATTTAGTGAAGAGTAATATATAAATATATATATATATATATATATATATATATATATTCATATAAATGAACTTAAAAATGAAACAAATTTATCCTGAATGTAAAGAATTAAAATGAATGTGAATTTCAAATATAATATAATTAATTTTCGGCGGTTACATCTTTGTTTTTTTTTAATAAAATATTAAATCGCGTAGTTGCATTAATTTCAACCACAATTCTGGCATTAAAAAATTTAATATAATATGTGAAATTAATGTTGTTTGTAAACCATAGTTAATCGTAGTCCGAAATAATATCTCAACCCTTATCCAAATGCTATTTTAATATAGTTTAAATTTTTCACGTCACGAGGTTTGAAACAAAGTGCCATGTCCATATAATGTAGTCAAAATCTGACCCCGGAAATGTTCAATGAGTGCTTAGCTTGCACTTGTTCTATGAAGGTTCATGAAAGCAACCAGTCTATTTTTAATTATTTTCAGGTTGAACCTAATATTGACGACCCTGCCTCTTAAGCTAAGCATGGCATTGCCGTGGACATTTTCTTCTTGGTTAAACCAGATAACCATTTCCAACTTTTGAGACTTTTCCTTCATACCCTTTTGCTTCTTGTGCTTTTCCTTCATGAAGTTTGCTGGTTTGGTCTAACAACAACATACGTTTCATCATGGGAAACACTTGTGCAAAAGGAAAACCGATTGCTCATGTATCTTCCTCCAATTTTTCTGGTTGGTTTCTCTTCATTGTAATCATCTTTATGCGGTGGTGGCTTTAGTTTCTTCTTTGGTGCTTCGATGCCACTATTTGTGTTTGTTTCCCTTTGTTTGTGTACTAATCACAGAGCCAGTTTTAAGTTTAACTTTTTGTTTGTTATGTTAATGTTTTAACATTTCCTCTTTAATTTCTGAAGAAGGTTAAAACTGTTATGATCTAACATTTCAAGATGAAATGCTGTTCTATTTATTAGTTGTTGTATAATCCTTGACCTGAAAAAAATGAAGATTCTTAGGCTGCTTTGCATTTAGGTTACAAGGAATTTTGTTCAAATTTGCAGTTTTGGAGATGGTTTATCTGAAATCATGGTTTTAAACTGCAGTCTGCAACCGCAATTGCGGCTCATTGAAAGGTTGTTTTTTTCACTCACCTTGCCCACAATTGCGGCTGTATTAGCCACATTTTCCTCTAATTTTCCACAATGTTAAGGATCATGGTGAAATCACTACTGTGACTACGACCACAATTTAAAACCAAGCTTGAAGTTAGCAAAATCACTTCTGTTTAATATCTTGTTAAGAATAAAACATCAATGAATAATTGGTTATTAGATGTCTTGATGAAGTCAAGGAAATTCATACTATCAGACAAGTCAGTGGAGCCATGTGTGTCAAATTTTTCCTGTGATATTGCTAAAGCTTGTACTTTGCTGTGTATGTTAACTACAAATTATAAGAACTGGGACTTCCCCAGAACTTCTAATCCAAGATACTTTCCCAAAACTTTGTTGATTTTAGAATTAGAAATTTCCTTGCACAGTTATGTTAGAAGATGTCAGAAAGTTAATCTCATTGCTGCTTTTAACTTGCTTCTTATCTATTAACAGGAAGTAAGAAGCGTGTATCTAAACCAAAGCAGGATTTAAATTCTTCTGAACGAAATCCTGCTCCAAAAACTACAGAATTAAATGTTACTACATCCATCTCCAGTAGCCTCAAGTCCTTCAGCTTAAATGATCTAAAGGAGGCCACTAAGAACTTCCGGCGAGAAAATTTAATCGGAGAGGGAGGATTTGGGCGTGTCTTCAAAGGATGGATTGATGAAAACACATATGGTCCCACAAGACCAGGCACTGGAATTGTGGTGGCCATAAAAAATCTTAAGCCAGAAAGCTTCCAAGGCCACAAGGAATGGCTTGTATGTGTAACAAGAACCATTAACCGAAGTTTTTTCTTAGCATGACTAATCAATGGTCTTAGTTGTTTCTGATGACTGATTTTACACCAATTGTGCTGGCAGGCAGAAGTCAATTATCTTGGGCTGCTTCAGCATGAAAATTTGGTGAAACTTATTGGTTATTGCTTGGAAGGTAAAAACAGGCTTCTAGTTTATGAGTTCATGCAAAAAGGAAGTTTGGAGAATCATTTATTTAGAAGTAAGTTAATTTCACTCTAAACATATTTGGTTTCTCAGTAATTTCACTCCCATTCCCAATCAATTTCTGATATTTGAGTAGATAATGTTCAGAGGGAAAGAGTATAATAAAGACATTTTCAATGAATTACATGATTGTTTATACTGGAAGTTCCAATTGCCTATCTCATGTGTATGGTTTAAATACTTGTTAGACTACTCCATATATTGTCAATTGGTTTATGTTGAAACCTTAACATGGTATTAGAGTCAAAACCTAACTTTTTCTGGTTATTGTCTTAGGTCAAAAGTACTCGTTTTTGTTGTCTTGGCCAAAAGTTACCCTCAAAATATCCTTTGCCTCTCTCATGTCATGTGTTATGGTGGTTTCGATTCTCAAAGTTGATTTTTTTGTAAGATTTTAGAATACTAATTTGAACTGAACCAAGATTGCTATTTATTCATCACACCCTTCTGTTATCTGTTTCTGCAGAAGGTGTTCAACCTATGGCTTGGGTTACCAGGGTCAACATTGCAATTGGTGTAGCAAGAGGACTAACATTCTTACATTCCCTGGATCAAAATGTCATCTTTCGTGATTTGAAGGCTTCCAATATCCTACTTGATTCAGTATGTGACATTCAAAGTTTCGTTTGTCAATCTCTAATGACCACATATTCTGGTTTACACATAAGTTTCCATTCTTAAAAGAGTAGCCTATTGTATATGTAGGACTTCAATGCAAAGCTTTCAGATTTTGGCTTGGCAAGGGATGGTCCAACTGGGGATAATACTCACGTTTCAACTAGAGTTATAGGAACTCAAGGCTATGCTGCGCCGGAGTATGTTGCTACAGGTATGGTTTCTTTGTCCTGATCAAAGTGTTGAAATCTAAATTTAGCTCAAACTCGTTCCTTTTTCTTCTAAATTTTTATAAAAGGTCAATTTTATAATCTATTTAGATATCACGTTTTTTCTTACTCTCTTTTTACTTCAAGTTTTACTGTTCCTGGAAGAATAAGTACTGAAAGGTTCTTCCATGCTGCTTGTTAACATTATCAGTAGAAAACATACAATATGAAGTGCAATAGGTAGATTGGCAGCATGAAACTGCTATGGAAAATGATGTTGAGGAGAACAGCTGGTTATGCAGTTTAACTGAATTATATGGGAACTGGCAGAGCCTATTTGCTCATTTAATATTCACCTTGGCCTTGAAGTGTGTGGAGAATGTGTTAGGAATACAAGGGGGTGAAAAAGATGGAGATCACCATCAATGAGCCAAAAGCAACCATACAAATGAACTTGACGTCATGTTTAACTCAAAAATATTAAAGCCTTAGATACAGTTATGTGTCTTTGTTATATTTTGTTCAATATATTCATCTCTATGTAATGGAGACTTACTACTCACACTTCCACTCTAACTGAATGTACAACCCCACCTACCTAATGCAGAAATTAAACCTTTTATTATAAAAAATGAGGGCAGTAAGTATAGAATTCTTGAACATTTAGTCCTAGAGGCTTTGGTTTTATGTCTGTTAGGAAGTCTTATATCGCCTGATTCAATTTTAGAGTGTAACTTATATTTGTTAAGATAAAGTTTACAGGGGATTAGAGTCTATAATTCAACTTGATAACTATCTATTATAGCAGGCTTGTTTGGTTTGACGGTATATATATTAAAACCAATTGATTTAGCAAACCTTTTAGTAACTCTAATTGAATCTCTTATCAATTCAATGACTAGTTCAGTTTTCACTTTTGTAAACCATTTACAAAAACAGGCAATTGTAGTTCTATTACTTCTACCTTTCCGTTTGCAATTATGTCATGTGCAATTATGTCATCGCTCATTTCTAAGTTGGCTTTCAACTGAACAGGTCACTTGACCCCAAGGAGTGATGTATACAGCTTTGGTGTAGTCTTGCTAGAGTTGCTAACCGGTAGGCGAGCAGTGGAAGATGACAGACCTGGATTTTCAGAGGAAACCTTGGTGGATTGGGCAAAGCCATTCTTGAGTGACAATAGAAGAGTTTTGAGAATTATGGACACAAGGTTGGGCGGTCAATATTCCAAGAAAGGAGCACAAGCTGCAGCTGCACTTGCATTGCAATGCCTCAACACTGACCCCAAATTTAGACCCCCTATGGTGGAAGTTCTAGCAGCATTGGAAGGACTTAACTCCTCAATTTCATTCACAAGGACACCACCAAGATCTGACAGCCATGCAACCAAATATTCTGGTGTCCATTCACAAAAGTAAATCCAAAGTATATATGAGCAACTTGGCTTCTTATTCTCCTTCACTTTTTGGATGAATGCCTCTGCATCCTTCCATAAGGAAGAACAGAAGAATACTGTGTTATACCAACAAATGCTTTGTTCTTTCATTTCTTCGCCTATGCCGAGAATTGCCACCTTTGCGGGTTGTTGAGAGTGTAGAGTATTTATTACATTGTGGTAGCAAGTAGATTCTTATTATGAAGTTTTTGAGCTTTTTGGATGGGTATTATTACATATACAAAATCGGTAAAATGAGAAGTTAATGGATATGTTTATATGGGTATTTTTTTCCTGCATAAGCTCTCTACTTTAGCTTCAAACTTTGAACTAATTGTATATCTCTTTAGCAATAAAGAAGTATTGGGAACAATACTGATTTTATGTTTTTAAAATTGAATCTGTCATTAACCAACTGGTTTAGAGTCTAATGGATTAATAAATATATAATAAATTTATTAATAGCAATGTTTTTTATAAAGAAAAATAAAATAAAAGTTCTTTTTATAGTCATTTTACAATGAAGATTATAAATATAAAATATATTTTAAAAGTATAAGATTGATATTTACTAAAATAAGATAAAGACATAATAAAATAATTATTATTTAAAATTGACATAATTAATATGAAATTAAAAAAATAGATATATTATTTTATAGGTTAATAAAATATTAATGATAGAATTTTTTCGATCGGATGAATTGGGTTTTCAAAAATATTTTGAATTTCTAATCAATTATTTGAGAACTTTTTTAAATAATCAATTACAAAAGAAATATCACAATTTTTAGAAAATAAGAATACCAAGACAGAGAAAAGAAGAAAAGACTCACAAATTTATACTGATTCGATTATTCTGGAATCTACATATAGTTTTAACCAAGCAACCTTAGCTTGGAATTTTTCACATTAAAGCAGATTATAGCCTAATTAAATGATCTTGATTTACAACAACTTCTAGTCAAGATCACAATACTTGAAAATATTCTACCTCATAATTTTCAAGTTACACTGATGTAGCTAGCTTCACATACATAAAAACTTAAAAATAAGATACAAAAGAAAGATATGAAACAAATTCACCTTGAATTTACGAATTATGCACCCTATAGCCAAACAACCTTTATTTGAAATTGATCTTCAAATTCTTTTGCAGAATTACACTATTTCCTTGATGCCCAAAACGTTCTTTCTAATTTCTTTAATGTATATTTGAAAGTTGATATGGATAGAAGAAGGTTTGCATCCTTTTATAGAAAGAAAACCGATGTAAATATCACGGATAATTGATTAGCAGATTTATCTAATCGATTATTTGAGTGCGATGATAATTTGAAAATAGTCAGATAATCGATTAGGTCTTACAAAATCGATTATTAGCTTGTTGTTTTAAAACAATTTTTTTGGCAAATAATCAATTATTAATGCGTCTTATGAAAACTTAATTTTAAGCCATATAATCGATTAACCATTTATTTAATTGATTATTAACGCATTGTGTTAAAACAAAATTTTGCAAAATAATCGATTAAGTGACCACATAATCAATTATTAGTGCGTCTTATGAAAACCTAATTTTAAGTCATATAATCGATTATCCCTTTATCTAATCGATTATTAGTGCTTCAATTTTAACATAATTGATTATTTTTACTTTCAAAGTTTAGATTGTTTTGGCTTTATACAAATTAATTATACTAATTACCTATCTATCATTTGACATCATCAAAAAGAGATTTTTCAAATATATTCCCTCTTCATCAACAATCTCCCCCTATTTTGATTATGGCCAACCACCAAAGACAAAAGTGAAAATTTTGAAAGTTTCTCAATAGTGTCAATATCAACAATAAGCAGTAGTAATATTTCTTCCCTTTGAACTCTTTCTCCTGCTTGGACTTAATAAAAAAGGGTTAAACATGCAGTTGAAGAAGTAATAGCATAATATTTAAAACAGAGTTATAATCAGTATCTAGTTACAAACCAGCTAAAATAAAAATTAATTATTACAATGCATCATAGAAATTATCCAAGCAGATTTAAACATTAGATAAAGAAGAGATTATTCATCATTGTTGGAGGATATTTGGATTGTTCCATCACTATCATTTTCATCATCTTCCAAATCAGTACCACCTTTTTCCTTTTGCAACATGGATATAATGGATGAGACTTGATTATCCAATGCATCAAATATGGAACAATAATATTGATGTTTATCCTTTTGCCATAGATGAATATTATCTAGCTTCTCAAACATGCTATGTTCAAATGCAGAAAAGGTACTCCTAGCAGAGGAATAAGGGATATTGGCATAAATAGGTTCAACTCTTTCATCAACAAATTCTTCTTCATCTTCCTCATGTTATCACTAACAACAGCGGACTAGTCAACTTGAAGCCTAGACTTGAGAGCATGAATTATATACATATCTTTGGAGGCTAACTGAGCATGATTGCTCCCCCTAGCTACAAGAATCCAGGTTATTACAAAGGCTAGCATTCTTTCATCTTTCTTCATACCACCAGTCTTATAAATTGAGTAATCCCTGGCAATATTTGGATTCCTATGGTAGGATCTAAATACAACTAACTTGTTAAAGTTCTCAAATCCCCCAGTGACACTTTCACCACCTATTGTAAATCCAGCTACATTTGTCCAGATTTCTTTATCTAAAACAATATCTACTCCTTTAACCTTAGAATGAATAACTCCAATTATAGTTCTCATATTGCAGTAGAAGACCTTAACCAAATTAGGATAGAATACTCCATTCATTTCAATAAACTTCTCTAGTCCTTGATACACTAGTAAATCTTAAAATACGAAACCATTTTTCCTGAAGAAGGAGATATGGGTTATGATCCTTCTATCCTTCCAATGGTTGAGAAATTCTTCCCTTTGTTCATCATCACTCAGCCAGCCTTCTACAAATGCAGGTCTTAGTGGTCTCTTGGAGGCAATCCTCTTCATCCTCTTGGGTTTTGCAATGGAAGCCATTTGTATAGAGTAAGAAGATGAAGAAACGAAAGAGAAGGTGTGACAAAAGAGGTTGTGGAGGCTAGGGTTTTCGAGTATGAACGCTTGAGGATAGATGAGCGAGTGAGAGAATGGAGAGTAGTAAAGTAGAATGTGCAGAGGATTTTATTCGAATTAATTCTGTACTTTCAATAATCGATTATATAAGTGGATAATTGATTAATAGCACATGCATCAGAGTCTGAAGAAGGTTAATTAATCGATTATGTTAACTGATAGTCAATTATCAGTGCATCTTATAAAATCCTGAACGACCCAATTTAATCAATTATTTTTATTATTAACCGATTATATTAATATCCTAGAGATGACCTAATCGATTATGCCAATTATTAATCAATTATATTAAATTTTAATCGATTATTTCTATCAGATTTAATGTATACCATTTTTTAATCAAAGGAATTTATATGTATTATGCCTAATTCATTTCTAATAGTGTAAAATCTTTCCCTAAGCAAAGGTTTAGTAAAAATATCAACTAATTGTTGATTTGTATTGATATATTCAATTTTACAATCCCCTTTAATTACATGATCCCTGATAAAATGATGTCTAACTTCTATATGCTTTGTTCTAAAATGCATAATAGGATTTTTTGTCAGATTTATGGCACTAGTGGTATCACATTTTAAAGGAATATGTTCTAAATGTATACGATAGTCTTCTAATTGATTCTTCCAAATTGATTGAGCATAACAACTACCTGCAACAATATATTCAGCTTCAGTAGTAGATAATGCAACACATGCTTGTTTCTTAGAATGTCATGATGCTAATGAATATCTTAATAAGTGACAGGTTCCACCAGTACTTTTCGTATCAATTTTACATTCCCCAAAGTCTGAATCACTGTATCCTGTTAAAACTAGTTCAATCCCCCAAGGATACCAAAGTCCAAGATTTATAGTACCTTTCAAGTATTTTAAAATCTTTTTTACAGCAATTAAATGAGATTCCCTAAGAGCAAATTGAAATCTAGCACAAACACATACACTATGCATGATATAAGGACAACTAGATGTTAAGTATAGGAGTGATCGAATCATACCTCTATACATGGTTTGATTAATCACCTTACCTTTTTCATCATTGCCCAGATAACAGTCTGTAGCCATTGGAGTTATGGATTTCTTACAATTTTCCATTGAGTATTTCTTCAACAGTTTAGCACAATACTTGGATTGATGTATGAAAATTCCATTATTTTCTTGTTTTACTTGTAAACCAAGAAAAAAGGTAAGCTCTCCCATTATGAACATTTCAAAAACTCCTGTTGCATGTCAATTGAAAATTCTTTGCACAAAACATAATTAGTAGACCCAAATATAATGTCATCCACATATATTTGTACAAATACTAAATTCTTACCAGCTTTCTTAGTGAATAAAGTTGAGTCAACCTTACCTCTGTTGAAGTTGCTTTTGATAAGAAATTGACTTAACCTTTTATACCAAGATCTGGGAGTTTGTTTCAATCCATAGAGTGTTTTCTTCAATTTGAATATATATTTGGAAATTCAAGTGAATCCAGGAGGTTATTTAACATATATTTCTTATTTGATAAAGTCATTTAGGAAGGCACTTTTAACATCCATTCGTTATAGTTTGAAGTTTAATGTTGATGCTATAGCTAGCAGAATTTTGATTGCTTCCAATCTAGCTACGGGTGCAAAAGTTTCATCAAAATCAATCCCTTCTTCTTGACTATAACCTTTAGCCGCCAACCTGACTTTGTCCCTTACAACACATCCAGTATCATCTAACTTGTTTCAGAACACCCATTTAGTTCCTACAACTTGTTGAGATGAATTTTTTGGAACCAGTTCCCAAACATCATTCCTCTTGAACTGATTTAATTCATCCTGCATTGCCAGAAACCAATGTTCATCTTTGAGTGCTTCTTCTATATATTTTGGTTCTTCTTGGGATACAAATGCTA